AGGAGATATTGCCGAATGGTTTTTTCTTTATTTTTCTTTCCCTTTTTGTTTGTAGGATAGCACAGCGGCGCCTTAGTCAAGATGGAGGTCTTGATGAATTGACTGATGTAGTGGTTTGCTCTATGAGCGGTCAGGTGACTTGTTCGGGAAGCGGATAGCTGAATAATGCCCTAATCCAAATTATACTGCAGCAAGTAATAGCATATACTAGATGTCTCCTATCAGCTAGGTGATAAACACACCGAACTATGAAATATACTATCACGGATACTACACTTTCCTCTAAATATAGTTGCTACGCGTGATACATCCAAGCGTTAGCTCTATGTTAATTCACTCTCACTTAGTACTATAAGTCGTTTATTTAATCATGTATTCGTTAAATGCTACCGGCTATTATAGCCTACTACCTATATCAATATACTTATACTAGGTATGAGCTATGAGTATTCTGAGTGTATGTGTGTGTGTGCGTTCGTGTTGTGTGTGGTGTGTGTGTTGTGTGCTGAACAACTGACATGTGCGCTGTGCGAGCTGCTGGTGTCTGTGTGTCTACGGATTGTAATATATACGTGATAATCATACATATAATTCCCTATACTATACATATGATAGTATAAGTATGGCCTAGAATAGAAATAGTAGTAGTAGCAACTCTTATATAGTAGTAGTAGATATGTGTGGCTCGTGGTGTGTCAGTATTAAATGTATATATTATGTCTATATGTAGATATGTGTATGTGTATGTATTGCATACAACACACAGCATGATGTGTGTAGATAATATGATATGTATTATATGAGCATATATATATATATAATATGTACCGCGGACCGACTGTATACGTAATCATGTACTTATACAACTTAGTTACTATGCAGCTGTGAGAAGTATCATCGTTTTATATCTTTACTAGCTAGCTATGAGTGATGAAATAAATTATATATATACCGTATATATATTGTTTAAAGATATCGTGTCGTGAAGTGATGTATCAATGCTAGCTGTATGGCCTGGGTCCTGCGTGTGTTATCGTCTTCGCTTGTTCCTCGCGTGGACTGCCTGTCATGTGTGTCGTTCGTCGTGTTGCGGATGCTGTCCATGTATGTGTGCTATGTATGTGTGTGTGTGCGTACTCATACTATACATTGTGTAATACTATATATATATTAGTATATATCTACTCAAGTATGCTAACAACTATACTGATTGATACTTTATTTATTACGTATATTCTTCGGAAGAGTCACCATGATAGTCGCAGTCAGTCACTCATTCCTCCCTTATATACCTATGTGGTGTGTGAGCACGTGCCTGAATATACTTATATAGGACGTAAGCTGTGACCTTAATTGATTGTTTCCGGGTAATTCAATAGGCTAATCAACTTGACCAGATACTTTCTTATTTCATATATCATTTATCTTCTCTTACTTCCATTATATTGATATCATGCCTTAACTATCCTATGCATCTTGTCATATCAACCTGCTGTTAATCGGACTTTGTACAAGTAGAGACGGAAGAGGTATTGTGAAATCTCCCTCAATTCTTTGATGTTCGAGATATAATATTATATGTATGTACTATTCTAATATTACTGCAAGCCACGTACTTATACTATAGGCACTACAGGTAATATAGAGGATGCGTAATGAGTTTTCAATTTACTGCATCGAGACTGACGTAATATGGAGTAGTAGCACAATCATAATGATATCGATTAATTACCTAAACATGTATATGCACATCTACCGTATGACTATCTAATAGCTAGCTTACATAAGTGAGTTAGTAATTATGCGTATAATAGATCATAAAGGCTTAGTGTCACTACAAGAGTGTGAGTGCTATAGCTATTCACTAACTGTAGTATGCGTCCATCAGTGAGGTATATGCGCGACAGAGCTAATGGAATATTATATGGTAGTGCGGTGGATAGGAGATGGCGTGTGATGTGAGAGTATCCCGAATTGCAGCGCTAGCAGGCCTCGTACGGTTATATCCACTACACTAGGTCTAAGCATCACGTACTATTATCTATTACACTCAGCGCCGGTAAAGCTATATAGTATATATGTCGAGAGTGAAGAGTGGGTGGGCAGGCGACTGCTAACATACTATGAATGTGAGGCTATAGTCAGATATAAGTAGATTATGCTCATAGACTAATCATTTATGAGTACCATTCAAGCGTTATACAATAGCGTATATATGTATAATAATATATATAATAGTCCTGTAGAAACTTACTCTGACCCGAGTAACTCTTGACTATCTATAAACCTACTTCATCAAAGTGGTGAGATGATGTATATTACGAATCTCTATTTCTTATTCTTGTTTTGTTCTAGCGTTGCCTATTTAAATGCATCTATGCGCGCGTAATCAAATAGCCCACTAAAGAGGTATCCATATCCCTCGTACCTCTTATAATTAATAACATCGTCATGCTATACCCCCGTAAGTATCGCTAACTATCTAATAAATAATTTGATA